AGGGCACCCACCTCTCAGCTGGCCCAGGAGTCTGGGTGGCACAGCCGAGGGGCGCGGCCCAGGGAGGGCCCGCGGGGGTTCTCGCCCCCCTCAGGGAACCAGTGCAGACCATGTGACCGGATGGGCAGCAACACACTGACCAATGCAGGAACCGGGCCTTGCCTTCAGGGGTAAAGCACCACTGTCAATGCCACAGCGGCCAAAAAACGGACCCTAAAGCCTGTGTAAGAGACCTTTGGGCACTGCAGGCCCACCCTCCAGAGCTCCGTCTCAGCTGCTGCCTGGAGCAATAAACTGCCTTTTCAGCCTTTCTGTCTCCTTATTTCTTCCTTGAGGCCGGTCACAGAAATCGGGACAAAACAGAGACAGGGTCCAGGCTGGGAAATTCTGCTGAAGTCTCCATGGTCAGGCCCACCTGCACACGCACCGCCTGGCTCAAGTCAACCGCCGCCCCGGGACAACCCCTCGGCTCTGACTCTGTAGCACACTCTGCTTTTTGCCCACTTTTCTCTCGAGCCCGGCCCTCACACTCCTGACTCCACGTCCCGGGCTGGTGGAGCAGGGACAGGGCCTGCGTCCAGCCTCGGTGGTTCCCCGGGCTCACCACCACCCTCACGACTCCTGCAGCAGAACAAGGGAGGCCCCACCCCGGTGCTCAGCCCTCAGCGGTGGAACGGCAGCAGGAGCACAGGGCGGCGCCAGGGCTCAGGAGTTTCGCCCATAGCAGCTCGTCCTTCCAGCAAGCGTCACATGGGGACACGGTGAGGCACCAAGGATCACGTGGCTCGGGCAGATGTCAGCGGCCAGTGCCTGGCCTGAGGCTGCGGACACCCCTGTGTAGGTAGTTTTTTCACTGGGTGGTCCCAGGAAAAGGGGAAGCTCCAGGCTCCCTGCCCCACCCAGAAGGAGGGTGGTGCTGAGCAGAGAAGGGAAGGGAATCTGAGGGGAGGAAGGAAGCTGGATGGACAGCCAGGAAGAGGCCTGAGGAAGCCACGTGGAGCAGCGAGCATGTGATGGAGACACCGGGCTTGTTTCCTGGCCCTGGACTGGCGAAGGCAGATGTGGGGGAGAGACCCGTGGGAAGGTGACTACGGCAGCGTTTGTACTGATTTTGGTTTTGCTCTTTTCCTCCCCGACTTGTCTGGCCATTTCTGACCCTCTTCTGTGGGTCCCGGCCTGAAGGTGCTTTAGTCTAGTGGCAGCTTTCGGGCCTTGCTTTGGGCCAGTCCCTTTTGGGTGGACTTTTGCCCACAAGGGGATGAGCAACTTCAGGTGTTTGATTTTGAAGTTATATTTGTTGGGAGTGACCAAATGTGGAGATTTACTGAGGGGCCGGGTAAGGGCAGTAATAAACCTGGCCTTGCATCCAAAGGTGATAAGGCAGTAATAAATTGGGGGCCTTGCATCCAATTAACGGGGTCTTGCATTGGAGATGGGACTAGATGAAGGTGATAACGAACTGGGCCTTACATCAAGGGACGTAGTGATTAATCACCTCTTTGGAATTCAAGATTTAAACCTATATAAGAGACCCTTCCCCCCTAGGAGGGTGGCAGTAGCTGCGGACCCTACTCTTGGGCTCTGTCTCAGCTGCTGTCCGAGAGCAATAAATTGTTTGCTCAGCCTCTCTGCCTTTCGTCTGTCTTTTCTGCGGCCGGTCACAGAATTTGGGACAAAACAATATTCTTTGTCTTCCGTGTTGTATTAAAGTCCCTTTTCATGAAAGCCTTATCTGTTTTGTATTGATGTGGCAGATGGCAAAACCTATTTAGAGCAGGCAGCTTTGGGGTTCAGGGGTGCCCCTCTCTCCCTGCCCTGTAACAGTTTCACTCATCAGGCTGAGAGGGACAAGACTGCATGGCCCACAGCTAAATACTGATTACCAGGCGCTTCCAGGTCAACCAGGCAACAGTCTCCCCGCTGCCCCAGAGCACAGTGGGGTTCCACCCTGCTGGCCACAGCCTTAAGGACTCCAGGGCAGCGAAGCTGCAAGCTCACATGCGTTCTGTCAAGTAGAAAAGTAGCCCCAAAGTCACAGTGACAGCGCCCCGAGGCACGCCTGCTGGCCTCCTCGGGGGCCCCACAGGCTGCACCCCAGGGCTGGGGCACCAGAGGCTGAGCTCGCTGCCTGGGCCTCACTGCCTCAGCCCACTGACCTAGTCTCCTCCATGACTCCTTGTGTTTCAAGATGCCTGTCACTCCCCAGTTCCTTTAATGCTCTTTAAAGCAGCTTCACCAACATCGGTTCTCTCGTTAAGGAACTAAACAGAGTACTTGACTTGGGTTCATGCTCCACTTACCCGGCAGGCAGGTTTTACTCCTTCACAACTGATTTTTCAGGAGCAGGCACACATTTATGGCAGCAACTACCACTGTATTATAAAAATAAAAATGGGGACAGCTGTAAGCTAACAGGAATGGAAAGTTCAAGGCCACGAGGTCATTATCCCCAAATTCTTCGGTGGGGAGGAGGGGATGGTGCCGTCCAGCCAGGTCAGAGCCAAGGATCATGGGCCCCGTCCAACCCAAATGGCTGGCAGGAGAGTGAAGGGGCTGGCAGGAGAGTGAAGGGGCTGCCCAGGCAGAGAATTCTGGAAAATACTTAAAGGGGAAACTGAGGCTAAATCACCCTCTTTTGGAGTAGACCAAAGTTTTATGTGGCTTATGTGGCTGTATGGCCAATGGCATTTTCTGGGACTCCAGTTCAGCCTCTGTCTGAGAAAGCAAGGTGACGCCCCACCCCCCAACACCCACATGCTAAAATGCACAGGGGGAAGCAGGTGGGCCGGGGCCAGACACGGGGGGGCCGGGCTGGGACCAGACACAGGGGGGCCGGGGCCAGACACGGGGTGCCGGGCCGGGGCCAGACACGGGGTGCCGGGCCGGGGTCAGACATGGAGGCCAGAGCCAGACACGGAGGCCGGGGACAGACACGGGGGGCCGGGCCGGGGCCAGACACAGGGGGGCCGGGGCCAGACACGGGGTGCCGGGCCGGGGTCAGACATGGAGGCCAGGACCAGACACGGAGGCCGGGGCCAGACACGGGGGGCCAGGCCAGAGCCAGACACGGAGGCCGGGGCCAGACACGGGGGGCCGGGCCGGGGCCAGACACGGGGGGCCGGGCCGGGGCCAGACACGGGGAGCCGGGCTGGGGCCAGACACGGGGGGCCGGGGAGGCCGCGGGGACAGCTCTGTGCTGTGGGTGGAGCTTCCGGCGGTCAGGAGGCGGCGGCAAGTTCTCTGGAGAGATGGGGGTTCGGGGGCTCAGGAAGACCACACTGTACCACGCTCCCTGCCACAGGGCACCGGACCACGGGGGCGGGAGCAGGGTAGGCAGCGTGCAACTCACTAGAATGACACATGAAAGGCTTGGAGCAGAGGCCACAGCCACGGGGAGAAGGGCAACAGGAGCCGAGGGCGCCCCGGGACCCCATTCGTTAGCTGCCGCGGGCTAACTGGACAGCTCAACCTTTTCACGTGTTTGAGGTGTTCACAATGATCGCCAGGGGCAGTGAATCCCCAGGGGCAGAGCCAGGACACCTGCCCCAGCTCGGGGCCCCTAGACGTGAGCCCACACACGCACACCTGCGCACAGGCGTCGCCCTGGGCAAACACGAGCCCGCAGAGACACGCCCGCTCGTGTGCATTCTGTGCTAACAATGCTTCCTCGACAACACAGCTCTGGTAACTCGAGGTTACCTTCTCTTAAAATAAGTTACCCCAAAATGGAACAGAAAGTTGCTAGGGGCAAATGACTTTCGTGAGTCAGTGCGAGAGGATGACACAGCTTTGAATATGCAAAATAAGAGGATCCAGACAAGTAGCAGCAGAGGGAGAGGGAAGGCCACTCACTGCACTTCCACCTCAGGCTCTAGCTGCAGAGCCCCAGGGACCCAGCCGGAGCAGCCGCACCTGTCACTATCCGCACCTGTCACTATCCGGCAGGTGAGGGCAGGCCCAGGTGCAAACAGCCTGCCGCTCAGAGAGGGTTGCCCTGGAGACACGCAATTCACGGGGTCTCCCTGCAGGTAAAGGCTCAGGCTGGGCCACCCAGCGCGTCCCCTCCCCCACCTCTGCAGAGCGCCGGCTGTGCAGTGAGTGCTGGCAAGATCGAAACTCCATCTTGCAGATGAAGAAGCCGAGGTTCCTTGGGGCAGGACGGCTGGCGAGAGGCAGGGCTGGGCCTGGGATCCCCTGGCATAACTGGGAGCCACAGGAAACTCCAGCTGTCGGTTTGCACCAGGGCAGCCACACCAGGGCAGCCACAGGGGTCAAGTGACCGAGGGGACATCATCTCCCCACTGGGCCGACAGTGTTTTGCCGGGTTTCAGGTTTCAAAGACCACCAAGGAGCCAATTCTGGTGCAAAGCACATGAGGGTCTTTACTGCAAGCTGGAGCCTGGGCTCCCAACATGCATGAGTCAGCCGAGCTCAGGGCGGGCAGGGTTTTTGTTCTAGAAGAGGGGAGTTCCAGCCCAGCAGCGGGCAGTTCCAGCTCAGCAGTGCACTGACCGGTGGACACGGAACAAAGTCATCTTGCCCTAACCCGGCTGGTCTCTGCGTGTAAGATGTGACCTTCGCTACTGGCCCGCACCCCTTGGGACATGTGGTGCTTTCCTGACGTACTGGTCACTTGCCTACGTGCTGATCGGCCGTTGCTATGGGATGAGCGCGATCGGGACATTTACAGTTGACCTCGGCCTTGGCGCCTCGTTGATAACCGGAACTCAGGCCTGGCTGGTTCAGAGCCTTCTGCAGCTTGTCATGGCGCCAGTTTGGTCTTTCAACGGCCACGAGCGCAGCAAGCGTTTCAGGCAGGGCCAAAGGAGCATGCGCTGAGCAGTATGAGAGCTGGGGGAGCCCCCACCCCCGCAGCCCCCACCCCTCTCCCAGCCGCGGACACTGCCGACGGGCGGCCTTCTCAAGCCAGCTCATAGCGTGACCAAAGCAAGCCGCAGACAGGGCATCAGGGAAGCTCCTCTCCTTTGGGTTTAAAGTACCTGAAACCTGCCACACGCAGGTCGTGGCACGGAGCAAAGCACCAGCCTTGGCACTGACGTGGCTTCTCCTGCCCCTGCCCGGATCCCTCTTGAGAAAGGGAGGGAGGGGTCCATCGTCCGCCGAACACACCCAGACCCGCCAGGCGCCAGACCCGGACCAGGCTCCACAAACAGCTCATTAAGTCCTGTGCCAACTGTGCGGTGACGTATCATCAGCTTCAGCTGAGAGACAGAGGAGGTCGGGCCGTCCGTCACTTGCCCAAGGACACACCTCGGGGACAGAATGTACGTCAACCTCCAGCATGGCACCCGCCATTAAACCGTGCCTGCTTCATGGCAAAGAGTAGGGCCACGGGCCGCGAGGAGCCGGCCCTCGGAGTGCCTCGGAGTGCTGCTTGTCAGCAGCAAGCGGCGAATCACCTCTGCCGGGTGCCCCGGCACTGCCGAAGCAGCTGCGCTGTAAACCCCGGCCGGCCGGGCCCTTCTCGCGTGCCCGGATGGGCCAGCGCCGTCTGTGTCAGCGGGGCGGTGGTGGCGTTACGGGCCGGGGTGTGGGTATGAGGCCAGAGTCTCGGCCAGGCCGGCCAAGAGGGCCACAGCAAGCCACGGGGTCGCGGCTGGGGGTGCCGGGATGCCTGGACAGCTGGAGCCTAAGCTAGCCTGTTCCCAGAGGGGAAAGTGGGGGGGGCCTGGAAGAGGGGCGCACGGAGGCCTGGAGCGAACGTGGCCCACGCCACCTGTCTTTCCCCTCCGCGCAGCTCCAGCGCACCCCGCCCCCCCAACCCGCTCTTGCTGCCAGAAACTCACTGGCCCCCGTGCCTGATCACACTTCAACCCCAGGACCTTTGCAAATAACCTGTCACCTATCGCTTCTGCCTAAAACACAGCTCCAAGTAGCTATGTAATTTGATCCCGTACTTCTTTCAAATCCACCCAAAAGACACTGGCCCATAGTATCGAATATCCCGTAAGTTAGCAGCCCAAACAAGGGGGTGCCGGCGGCGTGTGGGAGGGATCAGCGCAGGCAGTGTGCGGCCACTCACAGTGCCCCTCGCAGGCCGCGGTGGTGGACGCAACCAGGCCAGCAGACGATGCCACCCCGTGGCCAGGGGCTGATAACCCAGACAGGGCCACGCTGCACTTTGCCAGAAAACCACGGGGCTCAGCCCGCCCGCCCACAGGGAAGGGCTCCCTGACACCAGGCCCTCCGGTGTTCGGCTGCTGGACAGGGACGCATCTGCCCAGCTCCTCCCGAGGGGCAGCGGCCAGGTGGCTCGGAGACAGCGCTGTGGCCCCGGCTATCCTGCGTCTCCTGGCGCAGTGTGGGGTGTTCCTGGCCTCTGCGCCTGCGGTCCTCCTGCCTCAAAGCAGCTCTGCACCGGGGTGATGGCGGAAAAGGCCCAGCGGGTCCGGGAGTCAGGGATGTGGGAAGGGGCAGAGGAGGCGATCTCATTCCTCCACGCCCCTGCCTGGCGACCCGGAGCAAAGAGCAAGCTCAGAGCCCCCACGCGCCCCGCTCAGCCACTTCCTCCCCAGGCTCCTCCGCCCACACACTCCCCGGCAGCCACTTCACCCAGAGGCTGCCGTGTGGGGCGGGAAAGCTTTTTCCTACTAACGGAAAACCTGCACACTGTACCTTTCCCCAGAAACACTTCCCAGTGCTCTGAAGACCGCGGCCCAGGGAACACAGCTGAGCCCCAACAAGTGAGCTCCGGCGCTGGAATAGACCCGTGAGGCCCCTCTGGGGAGCCCAGGCTATTTTGAGAGTTAAATGAGAAGGCGAATGCTCAGCACAGGGCGGGCGCCAAGCTGACAGGTGCACGTGACGGCAGTGACCGCGACCTGGAAGGTGGATGCATTCGAGGCCAAGACCAGGACAATTCTGCTCAGAAACAGCGGGAACAAAATTGCTAAATTCACGCCAGTGACACACATGCACCAACCAGGAGACTGGACAGTGTGTGACAGGGTGGCCTCGGTCCTTATCAGGAGAGGTAAATCATAACCTCAACAGCAGCAACCTCAAGGGCGGACAGGGGCCCCATCTCTCAGATAACCGAGCGGGAGGTCCCGGAGGCGATGGCCCAGGCGTGACAGGAGCAGGGGGAGAACCCTGAGAGGGGTCCCAGGTCCAGCCAGGCGAGGGTGGACACCCGACCCCAGCAGGCACACCTATGACCCAGAGGCCTCCGGCTCTGCCATGCCCACGGTGCCCTCAGGACGGCGCGCAGAGGACATTCCAGGGTCTCGGCATCTGGTCTCCTCACTCGGGACAAGCCGGCTTCACCGAGCCAGCAGCGCGGGCCGCCGGGGAGCGTGAGCCCCGGGCCACTGCTGCCCTCGGAGAAGGGAGTTATTACCAACCAGCCGGAAAGCCTCCGGGCAACCTGCAGAACGGGATGAGCTGACGGAGGCCTGGAACCCGATCGGCTCCATCCCAAGCCCTTGCCACCCACCTCCTGCTCACAATGGGCAGTGTGACCCGGCTGGGGCCCGTCTGCCATGTCCTTGCTCACTGGGCACCCAGAGGGCAGCCCAACCCGCTTCTTAAGGACAAGTGATACGGCTGCTCCATGGGATACCAGGAGACCCCCAGCTGCACAGAAGTCCAGGCCTCTCCAGCCCATCATTTCCTGGCTTTGCGCAGACCCAGCACAACCCGCCTGGAGTTGAAATGCCACATACAGAGGCCTTGGGCACGGAGGGCAGAACCAGCCCCACCCATACGAGTGAACTTCACCTCTCTCCGCTTAATCACTCGTTCATTCGTTCATTCATTCACTCACTCACTCATCACCTACCAGGCGCTAGCACATGCTCGTCCTGAGCTGTGGATTCTGTGTTGTCTTTGAACAAAGACAAGCAAATGCACAGCTGCAACACCGCCCTGGCTAGTGTAGATGGTTAATCCCCAACTGCTCTCATCAGAACGCAGAAGACCATGCACTGACCGGAGGAGTGACCTCTCACCCTTACTGGGCATCAGTCCCCACGTGCCCTCTCCACCTAAGACACGGGTCACAGCGGTGCAGAGCCGGCCTTCAGGGGTAAGCTCCCAGCCGGTGCGGGCCCTGCACGGACAACCTACGTCCCAGGCAACTGTCCAGTGCCCTTGGGACACCCCCCAGCAGTGCCGGTGTGCTGGGCCAAGGCAGTGATCTTCCTTTGGGTTTGGCGTGATAATAGGTCATAACAGGGTCAAGTCCAAAAAGACCCCAAGAGAAGGGGAGCTGAGCTGGCCAGGGAAAGGAGGGACGGTGGTGGCAGGGAGGCGACAGGGTGACCCACCCACATAGGACACCCCCGGTCAGACCCTGGAAGACAAGGCGGAAACTTTGGGGCAAAAAAATGAGGTGGCCTATTGCTCAACTCCGGGCATTTCCCGAAGTCCAGACAGAGCAGCGTGTTCATTTCCCAACACGCCGTCTCGCTGGCGGGCGCTCCCCATGGCCCAAAGTCCACATCTGATGCTGACCCAGAGCCGTCCATCTGCAAGGCTTCCAACACCCAAGGTCTTTCAGATATACCCCCAGCGCTCACGTCTGTCCCTTTCTCCGGGGCTCCAGCAGAGGACAGAGAGAGCCTGCCGGCTGCAGACGGGGACAGGGTCTCTCCGTGGCGGGTAGTGGGGATGGAAGGGAGCCGGACACTTGGCGGAGGGTCCAGGATCCTACACACAGGTGCTAAGGTGAGACGCTGCACCCAAAGCTAGTACAATGCTGTAAATTCACACCGCCTCAATAATAAAAAATGAATTCCCCCCAACAAACAGAAATTAAGAGCAGACAGACAGGAGGGAGCAGGAATGAGTGTCTCCGGGAGAGCCCGGCCAGGGCACCTGGCCCCTCGGCTCGGGCCACTTACAAATAATCAGCCAGAAACCAGGCGGGCTGGAGCGGAGGACGGTCCTGATGTTTGTGTTCCAGCACAGGCCAGGAGACAGTCCATCTTGAAAGGCCAAACGGTGCACTTCTCAAAGTGAGACCGGCCGAGGACATGCTTCCTGGAGTAAGCGTTTAGCTTTGGTCTCCCCCAAAAGGGCCGGTGCCCACCAGCCCGAGCGCCTCCCCCGCCTCTGGCAAGCCCAAGCCCACGCTTCCAAGCCAGGAGGGTTCCAGATCTCAGCGCCAGGCTCCTCCCCACTGCGCCCTGTCAGCTTGGGCTCCCCCATCACATCCCTTCCTTCTAAGTAACAGGGGTCCTCAGGGGGCTTCTGGAGGGAGCCCCCGAAGGAGCTCACATGAGACTGGACGCCTTTAAACTGCTCACGGATCCTGTGCTGTTAGGACGTGTCAGGTCTCCCCGAAGTGTTAGTTTAAACAGAGAAGCACAAGGAGCGAGGGTTTAAGCCACGGGGGCACATTCACATCATGGAATATTACTTGGCGGTAAGGAAGAGCCGGCTCTGACACGTGAAACAACAAGAGTGGATGTCCAGGGATTTGTGCTGAGGGAAGAAAGCCGATTTCAAAAGGTTGCATGTGGTCTGATCCCATGGACAAAACATTCTTAAAAAGACAACATTACTGAGCTGGAAGACAGATTAGTGGCTGCCCGGGGTTGGGAAGCAGGGGAGGGGAGTAACTGCAAAAGGGAATCAGGAGGGACCCCCATGGCGAGCTGCTCTGTGGCTGACGGTGGGGGTCTCGGCATGCACACCTGAAAACTGCCCGTAACACTGGGGGCCCCTGGCGGGTGGCCCGGTCAGTTCCTGATGGTGGCCTTGCACTACAGTGACATAGGAGGTCAGCTTTGGGGGCGCCTGGCACCTTCTCCGGTATTTGCACGCAAACCTGCAATTATTTCTAAATTCAACAGGAAGGAGAACAAATGCCAGCCTCATCTGGGTGCTGTATACAGCAGCTTGGGCACTCACTCAGGGGTGCAGGTGCCCTCCTCAGGATGCCCCAACCTCCCTTCTCCCTCCAGCAGCCACACACACCCCAAAGCTACATGAAACCTCCCTCGGAAGCCTCCAGCCCCTCGCAGCTCCGCGGGCCTTGTTAAGAGTGGAGTCGCACATCGGGATGGTCCACCACTGCTGGGAACACGCGTTTCCCTCGCAGAGCCGAGACCCGGCCTCACAGCATTCTTAGACAGGCAGAAATGGGCCC